CAGCAGCAGCAGCAACTCTGACGAATTCTATAGAGACAGCTCAACGAGCAGCAGCAGCAGCAGCAGCAGCAGCAGCAGCGACAGCAGCAGCAGCAGCAGCAGCAGCAGCGACAGCAACAGCAGCAGCAGGAACAGAAACAGCAGCAGCAGCAGCAGCAATAGAACGCTCAATGGAGCTGCAGGAGCTGCTCATACACCAGGGCGTTGCCTCGCTGCTGCAGCAGCACGCCCGAGACTTTGCTGCAGCAGACAGCAGCAGCAGCAGCAGCAGCAGCAGCAGCAGCAGCAGCAGCGATGAAGAAGATGGCTGCAACTGCTCACACTGCAGAGCAGCAGCAGCAGCAACAGAGAAGGTCAGAAGCAAAATCTCGCGCTGCTGCGTTGCTGTCCTAGCAGGTGTGCGTGAAGATGCAGCAGCAGCAGCAGCAGCAGCAGCAGGAAAGCAGCAGCAGCAGCAGCAGAAGCAGCAGCAGCAGCAGCAGCAGCAGCAGAAAGGCAAGAGAGGAACCATCATGTCTTGCTTCAAGCTGACGGAGTTCTCTGCTGCTCTTGAGGCAGACATGCTGCAGCAGCAGCAGCAGCAGCAGCAGCAGCAGCAGCAGCAGCAGCAGCAGCAGAAGCAAGAGCAACAGCAGCAGCAGCAGCAGAAGCAGCAGCTGCTGCTGCAGTCTCTTCCTGCTGCAGCAGCAAAATACCGGCAGCAGCTAACCCGAGACCTCCGGGGTGTACGCGCAGCTCTGCCCCTCGGCGTAGATATCTTGGGTGTATGGACACCTGCGGTGCTGCAGCAGCAGCAGCAGCAGCAGCAGCAGCAGAAGGAGAAGGAGAAGCAGCAGCAGAAGGAGGAGAAGGAGCAGCAGCAGCAGCAGCAGCAGGAAGGGGAGCAGCAGAAGGATGAAGAAGAACGGAAGTTACAACAGCAGCAGCTGCAGCAGCAGCAGCAGCAGCAGCAGCAGCAGATGCTGCTGCTGCAGTTTGCTGCTGCTGTTAACAAAGCTATGACTGACACCACCGATGCAGAGGGGGATGGAGAATTCCCAGACTTCTGCAGCAGCAGCAGCAGCAGCAGCAGCAGCAGCAGCAGCAGCACGCGCAACGACAACATTGTATTTGCTCTTCTCCCCTCCAGCCAGCAGCAGCAGCAGCAGCAGCAGCAACAGCAGCAGCAGCAGCAGCGGCATCAGTCGGAGGCGGAGAAACTAGCACAGTGCTTTACAGCCTTTGACGTATCTGCAGCAGCAGCAGCGGCAGCAGCGCCAGCAGCAGCAGCAGCAGCAGCAGCAGCAGCAGCAGCAGCAGCAGCAGCAGCAGGGAGACAGCTGAGGGTGCAGGTCGATGACGTGCGGCTGCTGCTGCAGCAGCAAAAGAACTGGTTGCTGCTGCAGCTGCGTCTGCCGCTAGACCTGCTGCTGTCTCCTGAAGCAGCAGCAGAATGCATGCAGCAGCAGAACGTTGCTGCTTGCTGCTGCAGCGGGGGCCTGCTGCTGCCATCGATTACTCCTGCTGCAGCAGAAGAGCTGCTGCAGCAGCTGCAGATGCAGGCGCAGCTGCTGCTGCAGCAGGACGGCGTCTTCTTCTGTCTCCCTGGTGGCTGCTGGCTGTCTCCTACTGCAGCAACCAGCAGCAGCAGCAGCAGCAGCAGCAGCAGCAGCAGCACAACGTTGGCTGCAGCTCTGTCTGCGGCGAAGAAAGCTGCAAGGCAGCAGCAGAGCAGCAGCAGCAGCAGCAACAGCAGCAGCAACAGCAGCAGCAGCAGCAGCACAAGTGATTACATCAGCAGCAGCATCGAAGCAACAAGCGGATGCCTCGAGTTTGCTGCTCAGTGCTCCCGGCTGTCTCCGCAGCAGCAGCAGCAGCAGCAGCAGCAGCAGCAGCAGCAGCAGCAGCATAGATTGCTAGAGGGTTTGTTGCTGCAGGTGCCTGTGTCTCGCCCCTTCAGCAGCAGCACTTCTGCTGCTGTTGGCTCTCACATCATTTGTGCTGCTGCTGCAGCAGGAGCTTCTGCTGCTGCTGCAGCAGACACACCAGTGCAGCTGCTGGGGCCTGCTGCTGCTGCTGTCTACCCCCCAGAAGCAGCAGCAGCAGCAGCAGCAGCAAAAGGAGGCCGCGCGGTTAAGACTGCGAAGGAAAAGCAGCAGCAGCAGCAGCAGCAGCAGCAGCAGCAGCAGGAGAACGAAGCGGTGCTGCTGCAGCAAAGTGTTGAAGCACAAAAAGCAGCAGCAGCAGCAGCAGCAGCAGGAAGAAGAAACTGCTGCTTCTTGCTGCAGTGCGACGTCTCCGTGCTGCTGCATCGAGACACGCAGCAGCAAGCAGCAGCAAAGCTGCTGCTGGCTGCGCTGCTGCAGCAGCTGCGGTTTGTTGGGGCTTCTCTATCACACATGGCAGCAGCAGCAGCAGCAGCAGCAGCAGCAGCAACAGCAGCAGCAGCAAGACAGCAGCAACCGCTGCAGCGGGGACCCTTTGCTTCGCAGCCGCTGCTGCTGCACTCCTTGCTGCTGAAAGGAGACAGCTCGTTGCTGCTGCTGTCTGTCTCCTTTGCTTCCTTCTTGCCTC